TTCCCTCGCTGATCCCTCGCTGATCTGCGAGGGATCAGCGAGGGAACTTTTTCCCTCGCAGATTAGCGAGGGATCAGCGAGGGAATGTGTTTTTTGTCATTTCCCTCGCTGATCCCTCGCTGATCTGCGAGGGAAAAATTCCCTCGCTGATAGTCGTCGCTGATACCTGGTTTTCTAGTAGTGTATACATACAAACATACACACACACACACACATATATATATACATACACACACATATATATATATATATTTATATACATACACACACACACACACACACACATATATATATATATATATAGTTTTGGTTGCTATTTGTTGGGAAAACGTTAAGATTGTTTTACTTTAAATGTTAGTGTGTACCTATAGCTCTTTATTTATCTAGTTTGGGTTGTTATTTGTTGAAAAAAAAAAAGTTAAGATTCTTTTTGTTGGAAGCGTCCCATTTACAATCGTTATGATGTCGAAATTGACTTGTAACATTTTTTTAACCACAAGGTAATTATTCAACCAATCTTACCGGAAAGTATAGGGAGGATGCCTCGACCTATCTCATCCCCTAGTTCATACGGATTTGTGGAACCAGGTGGTTAGGGGACCCTTGAAAAGTATTTGGGTTTGGGTGCAACCAGGGGTGGATCCAGCCTTTAAACACTGGGGGAAAAGCCCCCAGTCAAAAACCAAAAGCCTTTGTTAACTAGTTTAAATTTTATATTTTCACCCTTATCTTACATGGTTCCCTCCAGTGTCATATGACCATATGCTTCCCTCTCCCAAGTCCCATCCAACGTGCCCCCACCCCATTAATTTCCTGGATCCGCCACTCGGTGCAACCAAGATACCAATTTGGTCTTGACCGGGATATCCACACAGGAAGCGTGAGTGGTGCATCGTCTTCTGTAGGTGGCTGGGTTTGTACCTCTTTTTGTCCTTTGACGGTTATCTATTTCATTTGTATATATCTTATTAAAGAATCTAACATTGTATCGTATTTGCAGGTAATTAACGATTTATATATCCAACTTCAAATTTTGCTCAATCTGGAGGAGATTCGGAAGAGGGAGCATGCATAGATGATGGATACGGTGAAGAGATTTACCAAATCTCAAGAGTTTCCGTTAACCTCGTCGCAATAGGTTTGATATCGTGGTTGTATTTATGAACTCTTGTCACCACACAATCGTACTTTATTTCATTGAACAATTTGTATGTTTTATTTTGCCTGGACAATCTATTGGGCATTAATTTATTTTACTATTTTTTTGATTTAAAGGATTTTAATACAATGAAATAAAAAAAAAGATGATTTTTTTTGGAACTGTTAAATTTCTTACAAATTATTCGTTGGTAATTTTTTGTTATTTTAAATTCTCTAAAAAGAAATATTGAAATTATTAAATTACCGACGGATTTTCAGAGGATTATTTGTCAGTAATTTAATAATTTAAAAATAAAAATAAAAACAATTCAACTATTTAAATATTTCGCTTAATTATAATTCAAGATAATTGGGAAAAAAAAACATTTACGATAGGTAATATCCATCAGAAAAAGTAAATTCGCCAGAAAACCCACCAAAAATAGTGTTTTCCAATGAGCTTTTTTTCATCCGGCAAAATCCGTCTAAAATCTACCAAAAATCAAGTTTTTTAATGGATTTGTAGGTCGAGAAAACCCTGCTGCTTGTAGTGATAAATTTAACTAACACTATTCATACATTCATATTGTTCATGCTAAGGTTTTAAAGTTATAAATTGGTTGTTTGAGATTTATGAATATTTACATTATAATTGTATAGTGACATTTTAAAATTACTTGTTATGTATATTAAATTACAAATTAGATGTTTATTCACTTTTTTAGTTAAAATGAATCTAATTTTATGTATTCAACTTAAATGCATATGTATTTATTTTAAATGTGTGTTATAATACAACTCTTCTTATTGTTTGTTTTAGATAACAAGATAATATTATTTTGAAGTATTATAAACAATTTAGTTTCGTTAAAATAGTATAATAATACAATTTATTGTAAAGACAAAACAAAAATATGTAGGTATAATTTGTAAAATTAATAAATATAGGGGTGTTTTTGAAAAATCTATATAATCATACTTATATTAAATATACGAATATTTTATTTTTTTTATGTAAAAAATAGTGTAATGAGTTGGAAAATAATTGGTGTTCAAATGAGTTGGAGATAGATGGAAAATAATAGTGTAATGTCATGTTTAAGGGCTTTTGATTATAATGAAATAAAACTTGCAAAAGTTTGGATGCTCAAACAAGAATTCGAGTTACAATGTTTAATATTCAATATATCAAAAATACAAAAACTAATAAATAATTATATAAATTTGTATCATAATATTATCATGGTAATAGCTTATAATACTGTGTACCAATCAAGTTTGCATACTTAATAAGGTACTACGGACCGAACAGGACGAATGCTCGTTAATGGGGTAGGAGGCATTTGCCCCCGATGAACTTATTGTTTTTTCTAACTCAGAAGTTAAAAAAATAATTTTATGTATCTTCTTTAATGCCCACATCGATCAAACTCTAATATCTCTAACTCTTAAGGACTCAACCCAACTAAAGTTATTTTATTTATCTTATTTTGTTTGTTATAATGCTATTGATTCGATAAACCGTTACTTCTCTTTTTTCCAACATTTTTTTATGCATTTTATTATTTTATAGATTTATATGTATTGTTATTTGCTATTTGTTAATTATTAGTTTTTAATTTTTTTTTATTGTTACTTGATTTATGTTTCTTGAGTTAATTTTTTAATTTGGGCTTGTTAATTGCTTCATAGATTGCAATTTATTTGCCTTACGTCCTTTAAGATTTTCTTGGCATTTTGTATTTGATTTCTTTGTAAACGAATCTAATTTCTTGGCTTCTTGCCCTCTAATTTATCGATTCTGACTGTTAATTTGTATGCTTATTACTATTAAGCACTCTTTTATTTTATTTTATGTTTCACTATGTTTATTACATATTGGCTTAATCTTGAGTGTCAACATGCTGTTTTATTATAAGTTGAATTAGTGTTTTGTATCTCTAACCATCTGATCCATTATGAATTAGTCGAAATTTTGTATCAATGTGTAACTAAAATATGTAAATG